AACCGAAGCATGAAAAGACAATCTATTTCCAAATAGAATTGAACTTTTACATTATCTTGCCAGATTTGTTTGACCAAAAGAAGACTCTACACACACTTACGTTTTCTCCTACCTCAAGTTGAATTGAATATAAAAATGTTGACCTTCTCAACAGCAATATATATACCCCATTTCGTCAATCTGATAGTAATTATTGTACAATAGAAATTAAAATGTTAATACCACACACTTTGTACCTTAGAAAGATCATGAATCTACCAAGGTATACTTTTGCCTTAGTAACCTTACAGAGAATTCTTCTGATTATTCGTTCTATATATTTTTTTCTCTTAGTACCGACTTAAAAACAAATTTAACCTATCCATTAGGAGGGTAGCTTATGATTTTAATCAGAGTATTATCATTGCCCAACTTTTTAATTAATTTTTCCCTAACTACTTGTGATCAATCGGTTAAGAGCAACTCCAATGGCAAGCTAATTTTCAAATTAGCTTTCCATGCCACATAAGCTTTGAATTAATTATCATTTTAGGTACTTTGAAATCCAATGACTAGCTATTACTCCCTCTATCCCTTAATTTTTGCCCCATTGCCAATTTTTGGGTCAAATTTGAAAATTTTGACCATAAATTACCGTTATCTATAAAAGATACTCCCTCCGTCCCTTTATTAGAAGCCTATTTCTAATATTTATTACTCACATAATAAAGAGAAATAGACTTCTAATTTAGGGACGGAGGGAGTAATATAGTCATGATTGATCTTGTTAGATTCATCTCATTGTATATTTTATTAATATCACGTTTTTATAATTTTTACGTGAATGGGAATAAATATATATATACGTTTAAAGTCGCATCTCGGAGTCCGTGTAAAGTCAAATAGGGCAAAAAATACTAGGCAAAGAGGGAGTAGCTTACTACTTAAATGAACCCCACCTCCTTAATTAATAACCTTTTTATATTTTATTTTATTTTATTTATTTATTTATTTACAAGCAAATTAGTTTTGCCAAACTAATTGCATTTTCTAGCTCCAACAATTAAGCTAGTAGCTATAGATTATTTAATATTACAAGTAAGTCCCAAGCTACAATCATTGGAGTTGCTCTAAGCACTCTTCAAAAAAAAAAAAAAAAAAAAAAAAAACCACCACCTAACTAACTAAACTGGCTAAGCACTCTTAAATCGTAATGTATTGTTGAACTATTAGATGTATTATTTCTGTCTCAAAATACATTTTCCGTGTCTCTCATACTGCCTGTCCCATAATTTTTTATTTACATCTTCTCTCCGTATTTTTAAAAACATGTTATTTAATTAATTTACTTATATATAAGATAGCTCTAAAATAAAAGTCTTGTTCTCTTCACCTTAAAAATTTAACATTTAGTAAAAAGTAAACTCAGTTTAATAAAAAAATTAAGTTCGGTAAATATAATTTCTAATCACTAAAAAATGGTAGAGATCTAGTAAAAATAAGTTTTATTATGTAAAAAAAATTTCTATTCAGTAAAAATAATTCAATTAAAAAAAATTAAATAAAAAATTCATCATTTCAATTTAGCAAAAATAAGATGAAAGCTAAGAAATAGGGCCTAACATTCTTCTATGCATTAAAAATAAATTGGAATTTTTTATGATGGATGGAAGGACTGGAGTAGTATATATCTGACATATATATTCCTTCTATCTACAAATAACTCATCTAATATTCTGTATTAGGATGTGTACAGAAATTCAAAAAACATCTTTGTATAACCTAATTTGAAAATTTCTCACTCAATCCATGTGTTGCGACCAATATGGTGTATGAACTCTACTCTTTCTTTCACACGTACTCTCGTTCGATATCTTATGTCATGTGACTCCTTTTATCGACAAGCTAAGAACTTGTTTAATTCACCTTATTTCAGGACCTTATTATTTATTTCTAATCATATCACAAAAAAATAAGCTCATATCATATTAGAAAAAATAAGTTTTGAACACATTATATCTTTTTAGGCCAAATTAGAAAATAACACCTGCTAAAGACCCCGATTTTGTTTTTAACACCTGTTAAAAAAAAAGTTTTATTATAACACCTCCAAAAATCCCACAATTTTGGTTTCACCACCCACTAACAGATTTTTGGATGGAAACCGTCAGTGGGGCCACCATGTACACGTGTCAGTTGTTAATTAGTTTAAAAAAAATTTAAAAAAAAAAACCTAACCACCTAACTCAGCCAGCCACCGCACCGGCACCACCTGCGGCCAGCCACAAACGGTGGCCTTCTCCCCTGCCTACCCCATAACCAACCAACCACCAACCACCGACCACCAGCCATCGATTTTCGCCGCCGAACCACCTCTAACACCGGAAATCGGCTCCCCCACCCTTAACCCACCTCGAAAACCGCTATCATCCTTCACAAAGCCGCCAAAGTACGGTTCCCCTCCCCAACGCAACCCCCTTAAATGGACCTCCTCCCTTCCCGCACCGCCGAAACCGGCGCCCCCTCCCTTCCCACACCACTGAAACCGGCTCCCCTTCCTTTCCCTCAACCCAGAAACCGACCTCTTCCCTTCCCACCTTCGAAAACGGTCCAAGCTCCCGATGACTAAGGTTTCTGGGCTAGGTTGGGGTGGGGGAAGCAAGGGAGGTGTCGGAAATTGGTGATTGGCGCCGGAAATTGGGAATCAGGGTAGGAATTAGGGAAGGGGAAGGGAAGAGGCGACTGGCCGCAGGTGGTGCCGGTGCGGTGGCTGGCTCGGTTAGGGGGTTAGGTTTTTTTTTTTTTTTTTTAAATTTTCTTTTTTTTTAAGCCAATAAACAACTGACACGTGTACATGATGGCCCCCACTAACGATTTCCATCCAAAAATCCGTTAGTGTGTGGTGAAACCAAAATTTTGGGATTTTTGGAGGTGTTATAATAAAACTTTTTTTTTAACAGGTGTTAAAAACAAAATCGGGGTCTTTAGCAGGTGTTATTTTCTAATTTGGCCTATCTTTTATGTACGATTTTTAATCTTTAAAATATCTTTAATTTCGTTAAGAAAAAGTTTATAAAAAATACATATTAATGAAATACGCATTATTATGGTGAATTAAACGGGCCTAACTTTTACATAGCAATCATTTTAAATTCTTTTTACACCACGGTTTAACAAGAAATCTACTCACCTTGTCAAATCTATTAAATTGAGTGCCCTAAGTTAATCAGAAGAATATTTGATGACGAAGAGAGTTCACAAATAGTTGCAAACTTATTATCTAAAAAATGGAAAAATATAAATATATATGCAACAACAATGGTCAATGGATGCTGTGTGCCTTTACTCTTCCATAGACCATAGTTACTCAACGATGGATGTGTCACCTCAGGTTCTCAAGATAGAGCTATATATCCAATGTAAATTTGTCACTCACTTGCTCCTTTATTTCACATATGCTGCTATTTTGCGAATTCATTGCAACCACCGTCACCATCATCGTAGAAGCTTGCAAATCAATTTTAGCCATCGACATTGTCCTCTTCAAATACTTCATTAGATACCTTTTTATTTTATTAATTTATTTTGTTATACCGCAGTTGTCATATTGAACATATTGTACTATGTACTCTTTCCGTTCTGCAAACCTAGAGAAACTAAAAAGTGGGATAATGTATGTGGATACTTTTGTAATAAAGAGAGGAGGAATAGATCGAGTGTACTCCCTTAAATTTTCTTTCTTTAACTTTTTTTTTTTTTTTTTTTTTTTTTTTACGGACACTTTAACTTTTTCACTATTTACATAATAGTTTTGACTTGACTCTCTTACTTATTTATAAAACACGAATATTGTATAATATATTTTAGCATTCGTCATATTGTATACTTTCATATTATCAATTTTCTTATAATATACTAAGATGTTATTGGATAAAACAATGGTCAAAACCATGTCTCGACATGCGTATTTAGTAAAAGTGAAACACTTAAAAAATCACAAGGGGAGTAAGAGTTTTACTAAGTTAAATTGTACCCCAAAAATTGTGGTTGTGTTTTAAAAAGAAATTGAATAAAAAACTGTACGTTATACTACGTAAAAGAATTAAGGAAAAGTAATGTAAAGAAACGATGGTGGCCAAATTGGTGGTGGTGGTGGTGGTAGGGTAGAGGGTAAGATTGGAGGGGTTGTGGTGGTTGTAGAAGGAGCCAAAGGATGAGGAATGATTCTCTTTCTTATGTAAAACAAACAACTAACCAAAACAAAGGAATTGGCTTTCCTTTCTCTTTTTTTCACTTTGTTGATTCTATTCCATTTATCCCGTGCTAATCAAATGGCCATTTAAAACTTAGAAAAATAAATAATAATAAAAAGTGAATAAAACTTAGGTAAACGAAGGAAGTATATAACATTAATGCATGAATGTACAACATTTGTTTTAGAACCTAATTGTTTGTCCTTATTCATCCTCCTCAAATGCTCCGTTGGTGACTTAGGTGGAGCCTATACCCTAATTTACCAAAGTACCTAAGATATACGTTTAATTCAATTTAATTAGTTCGGTTTAGTCCGATCCAGGTTTGAATCCATAAACAACTCTAATTCATTTAATATTAATAGCCTAGTAAGATTAAGATAGGACTTAGGAAGTTAGGAGCAACTTGGTGCTAACTTTTCCAACAGTGGACCACAAAACTAAACCTCATGGGATTTAGAGGCAGTTAAGGCCATAAGGGGAGAGCTTCCATATCTATTGGACTGGATCCTCGCCTAACATTGAGCTGTCCTGTACATTACATAAGAGCGCTTTCATTATTAGGATATCTAATAATGGAGAGCTTCCAAACCTATTGGACTAAATTCTCATTTTAACATTTAAGTGCACATGGTAGGAGTACGTCTAGGAAATTATGAGTTGATGACCCCTTTCATTCAGGAGTATGCGATAGAGTACAAAATCAATCGTGGAACTCCAATCGCCAACTTAGTCTTTTAGTTGAATTAATCTCTTGACATGAATGTCACAATTCAAATCTCGATCTCATCCACACTACTCCCTTCCAGTGTGAAATATTTAGCATTCGGTGTAAGGATACTTAAGTTGCATCCACACTTCAAAATCAAAGTCTCTTTTTATGTGATTATATAGCTCAATCATAGGACTATTAATTAGTAATTAGTTAGTGATTTTTGTTTAGTTGATCATTTGACAATATGAGATCTTATAATTCCTTCACTTCAAAAAAAATAAAAAAGTTACATTTTCGGTATTTGAGACAAAAGAGAGATAAAGAAAGAGAAAAAAAACTTCAACTTTTTCTGAGACTAATCAAAATAAATTTTCTTCAAAGTAAACTAGTTCAACTAGTAGGGACAATAATACATGTTCTAAATGAATTTCATTATTATTCTTTATTCTTGGTTATTAACAAACCAAGACTATAAAAGTCGCGAATTTCATTCAATCAGCAGAATCTAACTCCGTTCAATTTTAATACAATCCAATCAATAAAATAATTTCAATTAAGTTATTAGAGGAAGAGGACATGACCTTATCCATTTAAGCTCTAACCTAAAACATATTAACAAAAAAAAAAAAAAAAAAAAAAAAACTAAAAATCATATATATTAAAAACTTGTTTATTGGACCATGTGGCTACTTCACATTATGCAAAAATCAAGAATCCACTGGGATAATCTGGTCCCCTTCCTTTCTTCAATTGTTTTTTGTGTGTTTTGGGGTGGGGTTTGGGGTGGGGTGGGGTGGAGTGGATGTGGGTCATCTTGAGAATTTGGCTTCCCTCTATCTTTAAACTATGAATTGGAATTTGGAAGTCAAAACATCAAAATACAATTAACTCAAAATCTGTCAACCCAATTTCCAGAATTGCCTATAACAAGTTTTCACAGCTCCCCTTTTCAAAATATACTACAGAATTTACTGATGCATTTCCCTCCTGCACCACCAATACTCGTCGTACTCGTTAACATTACCATTACCATCGACGCTAACTGTAAGTCTGTAACATTACTTCCAGTTTACATCAGAAACCTGTTGGTTTTTTACCCCGTAAACTAGCAATTTTCTGAGTGCTTTTCCTATTTCTCGTACCCATGGACCCAATCAAATTATACCAGCAAAAACTTAAAACACAAAAGAGACGTATCTCTGCCACATTAATTGCTCTATATCTCTCAATAACCCCACCCATGATCTTTCTTCAACATACACAAGATCTCTTCCTGGTCCATATGTACGTATACTTGCTTGCCAATTCTGTTGAGACATGAAAAGAAAGTTCGCGTTCACTAAATTTCTTCATCTGTCCAAGTACATGGCAGCTACGCGCTACTTCCTTGCCATCATACAGTCGTCTGACAAATACAAAAGATTCAAGGAATAGGAATAATAGATTCTTACCTCACTATATAAAACCTTCCAAACACAGCTTAGAAGCCTGCACAATAACTTTTGGACGCTCTTTTACTACAGCTTATCTGCTCTTGAGCACCACAAAAATTCTTTTAGCACTTAAGCATGTCCTTTTCTTGCACAAAATCATTTTTCAACCGCTTCTACACAGATGAGCTGAGGATTGAAGGTAGTAGCTATGGTAACGTGTTCTCTAGTGATATCCTGCCATCTCTTGGTGCTCGAATGAACCAAGCCATAAAACTCAAAAAACATATCGTTTCACCTTTTGATCCTCGCTATAGGTAAGATAGCCACATCCTGCAAAAATGAGAACATATTCCATGGTATATATGCAGTTTCTCATTGTTTACTTTTTAATATTTTCAGGGCATGGGAGATGCTGCTAGTTGTCCTGGTTGTGTACTCGGCATGGATCTGCCCTTTTGAATTTGCATTCCTTACATATAAACGGGATACAATCTTCATCATTGACCACATTGTCAATGGCTTTTTTGCCATTGATATTGTTCTTACCTTCTTCGTAGCATATCTTGATCGTAGGTCTTACCTACTTATTGATGATCATAAGAAAATTGCAGTCAGGTCAGAAACAGGAAGTCCTGCTGTCAGTTCTGTCATTTTAGCTGCAGAAATTTGAACTAAATTTTTTCTTAAATCTTCATACAGGTACCTATCAACCTGGTTTATATTCGATGTCTGCTCAACAGCGCCTCTTCAGACATTTAGCCTCATCTTTACTAACCACAATGGTGGACTAGGGTTTGAAGCACTTAACATGCTCAGACTCTGGAGACTTCGTAGAGTCAGCTCGCTGTTTGCAAGGTCCAAAACAAAACTCGGAATGAAACATTTTTAACTATCTGTGTTCTGCATTACAGTTCAGAGTTGACAAAAGATACTCATCAAAATTATAACTTATTTTCTATCATTGGACCTCAGGCTTGAGAAAGATATCAGATTCAACTACTTTTGGACCCGCTGCACTAAACTTGTCTCGGTAAGTCATCATGAACTTCACTTACCTTTTTCGTAGTCAACTACAATAATTGAGACGAAAAATTCTCATGGCTATGATTTTAATCCAGGTAACTCTGTTTGCTGTTCACTGTGCTGGATGCTTCTATTATCTGATAGCAGATAGATATCCTGATCCGAAGAAAACATGGATTGGTGCAGTAAACCCGGATTTTAAATCACAGAGCATAGGAAAAAGATATATTTCCTCGATTTACTGGTCTATTGTGACACTAACAACAACTGGTTACGGCGACCTACATGCTGAAAACACAATTGAGATGATATTCGACATCTTCTACATGCTGTTCAATCTCGGACTCACATCATACCTTATCGGAAACATGACAAACCTTGTTGTTCACTGGACCAGTCACACCCGAACTTTTGTAAGTAGCTTCAATTTTGCATCTCCTGCCAGCTTTAATAATATTGCAGAATAAGCTCCAATACTACTAGATAAAAACTGAAGAAACAATGCATACCATTCGCACAAGTCATAACTGAATTGTAGCTTCAAGCCTGCAACGTAAATCTTGTGTAGTAATAGCAACGAAACTAATTTAAGAACTTCATATCATCCTTGAGTAAAAGAAAACAAAAATACTCCAACTGCCTTATTGATAAGAAAATAATATTAAATTTTCAAGACTCCAAACATCTTGGATAATAGAAAGCACTAATTAGTCTAGAAAAACCAAATAAAATAATGAAAAGGGACCAGAAAGATAGATGTTTCAGACAACGACAATGAGATGGGGAAAGTATAAAAAAAAAAAAAAAAAAAAATAAAAAAAAAATTAAAAAAAAAATAAAAAAAAAATGAGTGAGAGAGAGACATAGGCATTAATTTATTGCTCGTTTCAACTGAATCTACAGAGGGATACAGTCAGGGCTTGTTCAGAATTCGCAACACGCAATCAGCTTCCTCCACGAATACAGGACCAAATGCTGTCACATATTTGTCTGAAGTTCAAAACAGACAGTTTAAAGCAGCATGAGACCCTGAATGATCTTCCCAAAGCTCTTCGATCGAACATTGCACAACATCTTTTTTTTCCCATTCTCCAGAAAGTCCAGCTTTTCCGTGGAGTATCACAAAACTTTTTTTTACAACTGGTAAGACATATTCTAACTCATCAAACTTCAAAACTATCAGTAAGACGCTAAAAAAAGTCGCTGCAGTATTTCTTCCAAATGATGATATACTTATGAAGTCCTTGTATACAGGTTTCAGACATAGAGGCTGAATATTTCCCACCAAGAGAAGATGTCATTTTACAAAATGAAGCGCCAACAGATATGTATATCCTTGTATCTGGTTCACTGGTAAAGTCTATTTGTCTCAAGCACTTTAAACAGCCAGGCATTCACAAAAGATCTGCTAGACTAATGAACTGTTTTGGGTTTTTTATTTTTTATTTTTTTTCACAGGACATGGTAGCTCACATTAATGGGCATGAACAGGTACTTGTGCTTTCGATTTAACAGTGACAGCATAAAGGAAAATCAATGTTCATGATGTCTGACAGTGGAAAGAATATGCAGGTTTTTCAAAAGATACTTGCAGGAGATATATTTGGAGATATAGGGGTCCTGTGTGACAGACCGCAGCCCTTCACAGTTCGGACCACAGAGCTGTCTCAGATATTAAGGCTAAGTAGAACTTCGATTACAAATTCTTTTCACACACACAAGGAAGACGGACACATCATTATGAGCAATCTATATCTGGTAATTTTTCTTTCATAGAAAGTGTGCAAAGCTAAAGAGTAACAGGTTGGGCTTGGTTTTGGTGACGGAGTGCTAATGTCATTCTCTTAATCTTTTTTGCAGAAACTCAAGTCTCTAGAAAGCCTAGGTTGTTTAATGCAGCCAGTAGTTGAGGAATATCTTTGTGGTGGATGGTTTCATGGTCCACACAGATGTAAGACGTGCTCTACAATTGGATGTGAAGCTCGATTCCATGAAAGTTCCTTGACCAATGAAGGATGGAAGGCCACTTATAAGGTGGACGCTAAAGAATTCCACAATCCAACCACATGTAGCATGGGCATTCAATCAGAGATCCAAAATGATCAGCCAAAGTTTTGTTCAGCTGTTCAGGATGAAGAACTTGGTGCAGTTAAGATTCTGGTCGATGAAGGTGCTGACACAAAGTGGGGAGCATCAAATTACTCAGTGCAACAAGGAAGTGAAAACAAATATAATGAACAAACACTTCATAGAAAAAGAGAATCAAGTGATAGGATTAGTATAGAGGCCGGAGAAATACAATCACCAGGGTTCCAGAACAACCATGAGAACCGAGAATGCAGCATGAACTATTGTAGCCAGGCAGTAGCAGAGATGTCTAGACCAAGCTATTCTGGAGTAGCAACTACAAATTTAAACAATAATATTAGAGTTATCATTCACGTGCAGTCACAAAGTGATCGTATGGAGAAGCAGTTTGGCAAATTGATTGTTCTGCCTGATAGCATTGAAGAGCTGTTCAGTATTGCAGGTAAACTCTTCTTTTAAAAGCCTTTAATTTAGAAAGATACGGTTGATTATGATGAAACCAGACCTCACTCTTAAACTCAATCGCAAAACTTATCTTTTCGTGCTGCTTCATCTATTGTGTATCTTTCTGATGTCAAACAACTGTGCACTGCAGGCCAGAAGTTCGGCGGATGCTTTACAAGAATTACCAGCACTGATAATGCAGAAGTAGAAGATATTGGTGTCATTAGAGATGGTGATCATCTATTTTTCTGCAATAACAGAGGTTCCAAAGAGTTCAATGCAATTTAGCTGCATAATTAGAATGCAAGTTGCAAATAAATGGAACTCTTCTAACCTCCTTCCAAAATAAATTTTGAGGAAATGAAAAGTGTATCATAGAACAGATGGGATAATTGGATAGAAAACTTGTAAATCAATTAAGTTCCTAAACTTACTGAAATTGAAAGGGAAAGCCCTCATTTGAGTGTTTAATTCAACAGTAGATTATTAAGAGGTTCAAAAACCTCTTTTTCCTTATAGCTCTCTATCTGTATTGTACGACAATTTTTCATTTGACATAACATTGAGACTTAACTGAAGTAAACTTAACTTACCACAACAATTGTGACCAACAATTTGTCATTTAAAGAGAGAAATTCAGTTTGGTCTATCGCATGACTATTTGATAAAACGATGCAACAGAAATAAACATATATATAATCTCACGAGAGTCACGAGTACCCTTGTGCATTAGTCTCCAAATTACAATGGGATCAGGAAGCACCTTTGAGGCTCTATCAAAATGACACACACAAAGACAAGATAGGCGGATAGCTGGTCTTGCAATAAGTATATCGAATTCTGACACTCCATCTTTTTCTTGCCAAGAGGGATGTACAAGCACTAAGTTATGACATTCAACTATTGCTTACATCTCATACATCTAAGATTATAAACCTATTCCTGGTAACCTCACAGCATACCCAAAGATTGTGATGCATTAAAAAAAATTGTAACAATCAACAGGCGAGAGACTACGTTCGTTTATCATTTTGAATCATGTCAGTAAACATATCTCCTCCTGAAGATCTTGCCAGATCAATCACAATAGTTATCAAGTCACTGCTGGATAACAGAGATACATCATACATTACATACATATTTCTAATGATAATCATTTTGAACAACATTGAAATATCTATCAATCAGTGTTCAAAACCCTTTACTATTTTTAGCAAGCAATAACTTAGTAATCTACAATTCTACACACAAAAGAATGCAATATATGGAACAACACCATTAGTAATAAACCATATACTTCTCAAAGTCATAATACAACAAACTAATATTTTCCTTATGCAAGGACTCCCTCCTTGCACAATCAATACCTCATTTCTTCGACAACCACCTTATCCACCTCTATTTCAGTTAGAGAAACACTTGCGTATGATCGTCTTACCAGACCACCTTTGTTACTTGTGACTCCATCCCGGTTTCTCACTTCCTTGGCTTAACACCTCAACCCACCTACAAAGTGGTCTTATGATGGTGAAACGGTCTACTTTAATAATTTGTATTATTTTTTTTTTTTTTCATTTTCTCATTTATACATATCCTCGGTCCAAGCATACCCTAAGTTTACATAGTAAGCAAACTTGTAACAAAAGTAACTAAAAGTGTAACAAGAAAATCGAGTACCTCAAATGTCAATTCTCATGCTACAAAAATTCAAAACCAAATAATATTATAAGCACATTCCATCCTTTCTAAACTAAACTTTTTCACTATCCTCTAAATTGACCTAGGTTACCTTTCCCTTGAATAAACGAATCGATTAGCCATCATAATGATTACGGAGTACCAATTTCCACATAATTAATTTAGTATAAAAAAGTCACAAAGACAAATGATATAAACGGGATTTAATCCCAGATGTCATGAACTATGACCAAGTACCTTGCATAATAGCACACACTATTTCGTACCAGAAATATCAAGTCAAAATTTGACAAAAATGTAAGGAAGCAAAGACAATTTCGAAAATTCAAACATGCTGGAATAAAAATGGCATTGTCATTGTTTCAATCAAATGAGATGCAAATGCGTTATAAACCACTATAATAAAAACAAGGAAAAAGATATTTACAAAATTTGTTGGTTTATAGAAAAATACAAAATAAGTAAATGTAGAAGAAAGCGAGATACAAAACAACGTGCTAGTAGTTGAGAAATTGCGCTCAAATTGCAAAAAGTGAGCAAACATGAAGAAAAGGGAGGGGGGAAGTAGTGTCAATTCGGTCCCCAACAAACAAATGATCAATTTAGGGAGCGCCCTTTTTGTGTAGTCATTAGTCATCAGCTGTTTTTGTGTATCGGCCAGTTTATATATGGACCGGTGGGATGTGCGGGAGGGGCTGTAAGAGTCTTGCCCTGCCCTTTTCGGGACCATTATGCCTTTGTTTCGGCTTACACGAGTGGTCCTTGCTATATAGGATACTCGTTTCGCTTTGAATTAGTGGTTCAGCTCTTGTTTCTTTTTAGTTACAACTAAAGGTGATTATGAGTCGGGTCGCTACAGGTGAAAACCTGAGAGAACTACATCATGCGAATATTATGAAGTTCTTCGCACTTCATATAAGATAAGTGTGGAGGTGTTTAGTAAAAAGCTTATTAAGGAAAAATTAGCATATTTGACCAATGTTAATTGATTGATCATTACAATAAGTTGATTGAGGTGTTTGGTAGTAAGTTTATTTTACTAAATAAACTCTTTTCCAAATAGCCCCTTTTAGGAGTTTTATCCTTATTCAATATCTTAAGGTGAAATTACACTTATACCCCCGTCAATCTAAAACATTATCTCAACTATCTACCCCCACAAATTAGCTTATTAGTCATTTCACTACTCAAACAACTTTGAGCAATTAACTATTTACCAAACACTTTTATACAATCACCTAATACAATTAGTTAGTCAAACAAGTTAATACAATTATCTAGTCAAAATCAATCAACACAATTAACTTTAGCTTTCAACTTTTTCACCAAACACGACAATAAAGTTGTTTGATAAAGTGTTTATTGAGACAAAATTAGTTTTTTTTTTAATCCAATGTTAGTTGACTGACCACTCTAATAAGCTAATTGAGGTGATTGGTGGTGAGCTAATTCAAAGAACCTATTCCACCAAATAAGGTTATTTTAATGAACGGCTTGGATGAGCTTTTTCATTCGTTTATTCAAGTATTTTAAAATGAAATGATAATTATATTATTCAACCCAAAACCTTACCACAATAAAACATGTCAATGTCCTATTGGTCATTTTGTATACTCAAAACAAATTTAAGACATCGTCTATTTATCAAACAATTTTATTTACGGAGTAATCAACTAATCCAATCAATTGGTCAAATCAACTAACACAATTAGGTAGTCAAAATCAGTTAACACAATCAGTTTCAGCTTTAAGTTTCTCACCAACCACGGCCAATGTCAACCCACAAAAAGTTAAATCACCAAATAGTTGAGATAATGCACATACCAAGCAGCATTTACTCATTTAGGTAATGTCAATATCCTGCAATTTATCATTCAAGAATTGCTCTATAACTAGTTATGTTTCAACAAACTAAACCAACAATCAGCGGTTAACTGTGCATGAATCTAAACCGCCAACAGATAAGAAAAATTCTTAGCATACAGCCTTGCTGATCTAACTTATCTTCTTCAAAATAAACTATATAGCAAATTTCAAATTAATTCGATAATCCTGCAAAACTGTTCATGGCTTTTTTCACTAACTTATCAACCTGCAACACTCTAAACTGTCTGGATGATGCAATTGCAGCTTAATGGTTTACCAAAGCCCAGTCAAGCGCAGAACAAAGCAGCATGCGATTACAGAACTCTTTCAAAGATGGTGCATCAAATTATCAGAACTACAAAGACAATAAAGCCTCAGTCCCAGACTGATTTAGGGTCAGGGATCCGGCGATCAGCTAATGTGAATTGTCACAAACTTCATCGCGAAAAATGGAATACATAAGGTAAAGAGATAAATTGAAGACACTAAACAAAGAAATGTGAGAAAGTGAAAGTGGGAGGAAAAAAAATTATTGCTGAATCACAGCATAGAATTCCAAATAAATTGCAACTCTATAGATCACTTGTATAAAATGGACGATGTCTAATACAAATATGTCACTTGGGACAGCAAAATTATGTGAGTCCTATTTGTTTGTGAATTAAGGGGGAAGACCCACTATGCATATAACCTAATTTTCCCGTGCATGTAATTTACAGCAAAGTAATGTCGGTAGGTGAACAGTCCTAGAAACCATGATTCAAAGAAGCTTTACCGGTTTACCCCCTGGAGCCCTTAATCAGCAGCTACCAGTGCAAATCTGCCCTCCATTGCATGGGATAGACAGGCTCACAAGGTTTCACTTGAAATTACCGTCAATAGATTGTTCAGTAGTGAGCAAAAAGAAGTATTTGAGAATTTGCAAGAATGAACAATAAGCCAATTGTAAGCGCTAGATCCATGCATACCATATTTCACAGCAAGGTCAAATGCTTCTTTATCCACCATATAAACTCATCATGCATCACTGCCTTTTGACAGAAGCATTAATAGGAATAGGATGCGCCTCTGTGTTAAAAACATATTTGTCTAGTGGAACGATATTGCTGTCCCCAAACAGTAAGTATAGATACTTCAGTGTCTCACCCAAGAAAAAGGTTTCCATCTTGTCTCTTTTATGAGGAAGTGAAGTCACATCATCAAGAGAAGTATACCCGCCAGAATCAACCTTTGTATATTTCTCAAACGCCTCAAATATCTGCCATCCCCATTCACGGTACCTGCAGAGTAGAAAGAGCTTTTAAATAAAGTAAAAAAACAAATAAATTTCTTATAAACAAGGTATTCAAAATTTGACGAACTTTGGATCTTCTGTTATTCGGTACAAGACAAACAAGGATTCCACTGTTTCAGGACGTAACAGATTGTGACGGTCAGCAGGCTTGATAACTATGTCATTTAGAAATTTTGAACTCTTGTTTCCACCATCAAACCCTTCTTCAAAGTAATCCTGCTTCAATGGAAAAAAATTGGGTCATAAATCTCTATCAGACAACAGCCACACATGTATAACAAGGGAGATAAAAGGTGTAAAGTACAGCGATCAAAACTGCTGCAAAGGAAAAAGTTTAATATTTTTGACAAAGTAACTTGTAACTACTGACCTCCACATGAAAATAAACAATTTCTGGAGCAAGACCAGTGGAAGTTACGGAATACGTTTCAACACAAGTCTTAATAAGGTCTTCAGCGAGCCTTAAATTTTCCAGGTCCTCAGAGCTTAGCAAGTTGTCTTTCATAGCTTTTGACTTAGTCATGCCTTTGGTGGCACCAAGAGCAAGAGTGCCAGGAAGAAAACACACCTAAAGGCAGAATTAATAATACAAAATCATTACATTCAAGTAATTAGCAG